ACGGTACAGTATATAAATAATAACAATAACAGCAATAATACAAAATGTGATTTGCAATCTGGGTTGAAAGATTATGATCACTATACCAATTATAATTGACTCTTTTGGTTCATCAAATATTTAGAAATTATTATGTCGTACCACTCAATTTGCAAACATTTATTTGGAAAAAGCCACACGTATTATCGCAGTACCCCCATAATTCTTTAGTCTGTGCCTGAATCAATGGTGTCGGCACCAAGTTGATTACACTGTGATGTTCATTTTGGACAATTAGAATAATAATAAACAACAGTGCTGTTAACTGGATCAGCCAATTTCCATCTCACATTTATTACTGAAAACTAGTTTTGTGTAGGGGTGAGAGTATTGGCCTAGAAACCAGAGGACAATGAGTTCTGGGCCTCCCTTGGGAATGAAAGCTGGCTAATCATTCTCTCAGCCCAATCCACCCCACAGGGATGTTCTTTGGGAGACTATAATAGGGAGGACATCCTTGAGTTTGGAGGAAGTGGAGGTCAGGATACAGATGTTGCAGTATCTGGAGACAGCAGAAGAGAAGAGAAAGAACTGGGCAAAAAGATCATGCAGCACAAAGATCTTCAAATAGAAGTAGAACACCAATGGCAAAAGAAAGCAAAGATAATACCATTTTGTGTGCAATCCCAAAACATCTGGAGCTCAACTTGAACACCATCAGCACTGACAAAATCACCATCACTCAATTGTAAAAGTCAGCTCTACCTGGAACTTCATGCATCCTGCAAATGTACATTTAATGCCATTAAACAACAGCTGCCTATCCCAAGTCCTTGGGAAGGACTCAATATATGGACAAAGATGTCAAATCCAGTCTAAGCATTTGGCTGACTGTGTGACCAATACAATATCTTCTTCCAGGTAGGGTAGAGGGCTAGACTAAAGGAGGCTATGCTCGGGAGTCTCTCAGGGTTTGAGGGGATCAAGGCTCAATCATGAGGTCACAGATGTCTTCTCAACTTTTTTTGAGCTCCTCCAAGGACACCCCCGATTCTGCCATTGGTTGAATTTAAACATTGTAGTTGGCTACCGTTGATACTTTTAATTCAGTAGTGTTAGGTAAAGGTAAAGGTTCCCCTCGCACATATGTGCTAGTTGTTCCCGACTCTAGGGGGCGGTGTTTATCTCCATTTCAAAGCCGAAGAGCCAGCGCTATCCAAAGATGTCTCCGTGGTCATGTGACTGACATGACCAAATGCCGAAGGCGCATGGAACGCTGTTACCTTCCCACCAAAGATGGTCCCTATTTTTCTACTTGCATTTTTACATGCTTTCGAACTGCTAGGTTGGCAGAAGCTGGGACAAGTAACAGAAGCTCCCTCTGTCATGCGGTGCTGGGGATTTAGCGTCTTATCCACTGAGCCACCCCATCCCTTTGGTAGTAGTGTTACCTTCTCAATTAATAATCCAATGGTTTCATGAGGAAGTAGCAGTCTTATCTTTCCAGGCTAGAAAAAGGGGAATGTTTTCTGAGCCAAAGCAATCCTACCACGATTTCTATATAGCTTGGGAAATTAAGAAGTAGATGGAGCTTTTTTTTTATAACATGGGGGCCACGGATAACTGTTTATAAAGCTGCCATAAATACTTCCTGTTATTGACACGTGAAGTGGAGGTGTTTTGCACTTTGAGAAGATGCATCTTTTTCCCCCCTGAAAAGAAGAGTCTCGCTTCTAATTGGAAATAGCAGCATAGCCTGTTAGAAGAGATCTGATGCCAGCTGTTTTCCTCCTCTGGTCTGTGAAATGATTTGCTCTTTTTACAACTCTGACCTTTGGCCAGAACAAAAAGCCAGGCAGTGGCCCAGATGTCTGCGGGGAGCCAGAGTGATGGTTTGTGTGCCAGGCAAACAGTTGGCAGTGGTCCAATACAGCAGCTTTTTCTACATCCAACCTATTTTGTGGTGTGTGTGTGTTTGTATGTGCCACACGCACCAGAATGGTTCATCACAGCAACCGAGAGATTCCTTTGGGGGAGCAAATCTCCCCAAGGCCTTATTTTCTTCGATCTTCCACATATCATTCAACAAAATAAAAGGCAAACAGAAGCTTATGGCAAGTTCAACAGCACACAGACGTAGGGCAGAATCCCAAGCAGAGGCTGCCAGAAGCTGAGGATTTTTCCAGTATCCTCCATGCCAGAAAATAACAGAGGAATTGCCAAAAACATTTGTTCAGCAGAGGTACATGCGTACAGGAACCTCATTATATTTGGTGTTAACACAGCCCATCGATTAGAGAGGATGCCTGCCCAATGAGTCTTATGACAGGACTGACAATGAGATATAATAGCGGGAGTCAACCCATGACGCTCTTAGCTATTTCGTAAAACAACAGGAGACTTTCAGTTACAGAAGAGAATGACAGGCTATGCCTCAGATCAGGGCTACATCTGAAACTAATCCATAGCATTTGCTTGAGGATTATCTTTAGCCTGGCAGATATGTAGAACATTAGCTTAATAGCATGAAGTATGCATATATGACAATAAGGGGTACAGTATGGCATAATCAGGCTGTGCATTGAGAATTGCGGCATCTGCTCACACAATCCCACAACTCCGAAGCCTTGTGACTTTCTCTCTGATGTTCAACCGGCATGTCTATGCCTCACCAGAACAGTCCATAATTGGTCTCAGCACATGGTATTATTACAACTAATGTGAAGGATTTCAAGAATCAATGTCGTTATATGGATTATAATAGATGAATGTAAAGATTTGAGCATCTCCAAGGATGCGTTTATACATTCATATCACTCACCGGTGTAGTAATTTTAAGTATTTCTGTTAAAGTCTCACCGGTGACATCAGAATTTCTGAGCGGAATTGTTATGGATTGTCTATGCTGTTAGTGATCGGGGATCTTTCACCCAACGGCTGGCAGCAGAATGCATGAGCTGCCTCTAGAGGAAAATATGATGCTGCTGAAGTCATGTCAGGTGATTTGGAAGTGTTTATCTGTGCAATCTGATTAAGCTCATTAGGTAATATGGAACATGGATAACTTCCACATAGAGTTCATTTCAGAATTCATTTGTTCTGTTTGAAGTTTAGGAAAAACTCCAAAAGTACAAGCAGTTCAAAAACTGAATCAGTTATCCAGAAAGATGGTGGGTTCTTCTTTACCTGCTGTGCTCAAGTAAAGGCTGGCTAGCCACCAATTGTGTTGTTAGTTGCAAAGTTGTGTCCGACTCATCACAACCCCTTGGACAACCTTCCTCAAGGTCTCCCTGTCCTCTATCATCCCCAGGAGTCCATTTAAGCTCACGCCTTTTGGTTCAGTGACTTCATCCAGCTCCCCCATTCTCTGTCGTCCCCTTCTTCTTTTGCCCTCAATCTTTCCCAGCATTAGGCTCTTCTCCGGTGAGTCCTTCCTCCTCATTAGGTGGCCAAAGTACCACCAATTAGGATGCTTTAATTTTAACATCTGATCATTTAAATAGCCACTATCCACTGTCTGAACATCTGATCTGTTTTTTATTTTCAAATTCTGTATTTTATTTTTTATACTATTTTTTATTTTCAAATTCTGGAATAATATGGGTTACAGATAGTTTAACAATCCTGATACAGTGATTTGTGATCCTGTATTGCAATTTAAGCAGACCAAGGTTGCACACTCTTATGTATGGAAGTTGCTGCCCTCTAGTGTTAAAATATATTTTGAAGTTATAGTAAAAAAAAAAAAATACTATTCATTTTGATTTTCCTACTTGGTGTATGGAGATTCTCAGTCATCCAGATCATGGTTGTCCTAAAGGTGCTTTTCCAAAAGGTAACTGGACTTTCTTGGGTTTTTCTCCCTTGAAAACGTTTTGCTTCTCATCCAAGAAACAAACATCCAAGAGAACTGAAGAAGCTTCTTGGATAAGAATCAAAACATTTTCAGGGGGGAAACCCCAAAACATTCCAGGTGCCTTTTGGAAAAGCACCTTTAGGACAACCATGATCTGGATGACTGAGAATCTCCATACACCAAGTAGGAAAATCAAAATGAATAGGTTTGTTTGTTTTTTTTTAAAACTATAACTTCAAAATGTATTTTAACACTAGAGGGCAGCAACTTCCATACATAAGAGTGTGCAACCTTGGTCTGCTTAAATTGCAATACAGGATCACAAATCACTGTATCAGGATTGTTAAACTATCTGTAACCCATATTATTCCAGAATTTGAAAATAAAAAATAGTATAAAAAATAAAATACAGAATTTGAAAATAAAAAAT